TGTTTGCTGTGAATTACAAATAAAAAAAACTATGACTATAACATTTAATTTGAATTAATAATTTGCTATTTTATACAATTTTTCGTTATTTGAATGTAATTTCAACCTCAAAAACAGGAGAAAAAACATGTTTTGGGAATAAGAAAGTGTAGTTCACTTTTAGGTGGTCAAAAAGTTAGGTTTTATACCAACATGATTAGTTTTTCAAAAACTCTTTTCTACTCGCGTGTATTATATTCAAAGTGTGATATAGTAAAATTACCCTTATGTTTATAGTTTATTAAGAAGTATGCAAAGTCAATAGTAGACAAGTGCTATTGGACATAATGTGGATAACTAATTTCGGAGTCTATATTGGAGCCCCGATTAAATCCGAATCGTGCATTGTAGGGTCCATTCGGGAGTGGCGCTCCCAACATAATTTTTTACATACTCAATACTTGAACCCGAAATCTTTGATTAAGGGTGAAACAATCTTACCACTACAACACAATCCATATTGATGATGCCCGAGTTATTTATGATAAACCTAATGTTCTATGACTGATCAAATAGTTTTCCTAGCATTAACTTGTATAACAGCTTTTAAAATTCAAACCTACCTTCCACTCAACATCGCGGATATCGAAACAATAAGATAAAATTGCACGTTTGTTTTTTAAATTTTGTCTTTTGATAATCAAATTTATGTCTAACTAAACATAAATGCTTTAAAAACTAAGGTCTACATAAGTTATTGAATATTATAATATAAAAATATAAACTTATGTCCCGTAAAAAAATTACAGTATTTATTATGAAAGAAAAACTTAAAAATTAATATAAAATCTCACTAGTTTAATGTCTAATTACATGTCTTCTCCAAAGTATTGAAATTATCATTCGTGCTAAATTTCAGTCACCACACATGTATCTGGCGCTAGGGGTGGGCATGGTATGATATATATCGAAATACTATACCATATCAAAATTTTGAATACCGTAATTTTGGTATTATGGTATTTGGTGTGGTATATGTTTTTTTTTGGAATTCGGTATTTAGAAATAACATAACGAAATACCGAATACCATTCCGGAGTATATAGTTACATAAATAACAAAATTAAAATACTTACAAATATGCAACCTTATATTAGTATAAACTAAATGTAGAAGTTAAAATTTTGATTACTCTATTTTGATTAAAATGTATTTGAATTGTATAATTGATTAACAAAAGGAGATGTTTCTAGTTTATTTTGCATATATATTTCTACAGGTGTAATGTGTTAGTAAGATACAATTAAAAACTATTTTTAGTTGTCGAAGTCATAATACTCTATTATACGAGTATATATTAGTCGAAGTTGAACAATTATGGTTACCGATTTTACCATACCGTAGAATATCGAAACCGAACTTCAATTTATCGAACCATACCGAATTAAATTCGTATGGTAATGATATAATATTTAAAAACCGAATACCGAAATTACAATATCGAAACTTTCAAATACCATACCATGCCCACCCTTATCTGGCGCGATCAGATACTTGTATCTCGAATACATAGAGACAAAATTAGATGTAATTTACTCTATTTTCATTTTATCCAAGTGTATTTGCATGTATCAGAGATACATTGACTCTTTCGCTCATCTTTCTCCTTCTCTCGTTTGCCTCTCTTCCTATGTATCTGTATTTCAAAATGTATCTGATATTACACATACATGTATCTAGTGTGATTCACATGTATTTGAGATGTATTGATTGTCTCGCTCACCTCCATTCTACCTCTCTTGTCTCTCTCCTCTCTCGTTCCTCTCTCCCTATGCATGTATATTTAAGTGTGTAACTGATAGCTGTATCTAGGTATATATGACTTAATATATGTTATGAAACTATTAATTAGTAAGACAATAAATAATTATTTTAAACTCTATAGAGAATTTGGTAAATATGAATTATGATATAAATATTTGCGTAATTAAATAATTTTGAGAAAATTACATAATTACACGACTTAAGATAACATAATATCAAAAAATCTCTACCAATTGCATAAATTACAAAGAATCTATTTTTCCTTCCCTCTCTTAATATCCGGATACTTCACTCCACCTCTATGAGGTGCATTATAATTTTGTTTGTGTCTGATACAAATGTTATTGTTGATACATACCTCCAATTATTTCAAGCATAGATCGATATGAATCTAGTTCATAGTTATGTTATTATGTATCTGATGCATAATTTATGTATTGTTTGCTATGTATCAAGCGAAGAAGCAATATATCCGTTATTTCTGAAAAATACGAAATTATTTCAATTTGAAAAACTTTTGAAATGAGAGGTAATTAGTGTCCAAATTATTGGGTTTATGTAGTTGGGAAATTTACATGAAAAAACTAACTTATATCAATAAATTACTTAAAATAGCTACTGTTTGCTTTATTTACCATTCACCACTTACTTTTTGTCATAATTACAGTTATCAGTTTTTGTATAAGCATGCCTTTTTTTACCCAGCTTCACACGCTACTTGTGAGTCTCTGCATAATTTTTCTTTTACCCTTTTTCACCCAAAATTCAAAATTTTAATCTCTCCCTCTCAATTTGTACTCTCAGATTTTTTAGGTAATTGTTTTTCCGGTTTCATATTTATTTCATTGTTTTTGTTTTTGTGTATTACTGTGAATTTTTTTGTTCATTTTCAGTTTTTTAATTTTATACTTTCAAAATCATGGATGAAAAAGAAACACCTTCTAAGAGAATCACTAGAGGTATACAATCGAATCAAGAGTTTTTGGATGATTTTCCATCTTTTTCTTTGGGTTTAACTTAGGATTTCCAAGAAATTTCAGGGTCCATTGCTAAATCTCAAATTAATCAACAAGAAGGTATGTCGAAGTTTGGTAATACCCCATTGAAGATGAAAGAAGTCATGCATGTTGCAAAATCAAAAGGAAAGACCAAAAAATTGGATAAACATAAAGAAGACAAATCAGTTGATGTTTTGACTTCAAAGAAGAAGCGTAAAGTAAAAGAGATTGCATTTACAAGCAATAAACAAGACAAATCAGTTGATGTTTTGATTTCAAAGAAGAAGCGTAAAGGAAAAGATATTGCATCTACAAGTAATAAAGAAAATGCCCAATCTGATTCAGTTGAACAACTAAATTTTGGAAGAATTGAGGTAATTTGTATAATATATAAATGTATATATATATTTGAAGTTCAGATCTAAAGTTCTATGCCTATATGTAACTGTTTGAATATATTTGTACATGTATATAACAAAATGAAATTTTATATCTCAATAGTTGTTGTCTTTATTTTGAAATTTGTGTTGTACTTATTTTCAAATTGTATAATTATTTTTGTTTCACAGTTGTATCCATATTTGTATAACTTCGTATTTGTATATAGATATTCACTTTGTATAACTCTGTATTTGTATATAGATATTCACTTTGTATAAGTCCGTATTTGTATATAGATATTCACTTTGTATAACTCTAATTTTGTATATAGATATTCAATTTGTATAGTTCTATATTTTTGTTACTGTTTTTGCCATTTGTGTTGTATAATTATACATTTGAAATTGTATTATACATTTACATTATTTATTAGGGAGTACAATTTATTCTCAAGGAAGATCCACTTTACACCCCACACATGCAATGCTATACCAATATTGGAGTAATGGATCAATTACGCTCCACATTGCCCCAAGTTGCGTCAATCAATTTTGTTAATCATCTTGTTTTGCTCAAATATCAAGCATGCATCGTTATTATGGCATGCCATGCCATGATATGCAGCGCTGTTGTGGAATTATGGCATGCGCAAAAATCAAGCTGAGGCGATTAGTGACAGTGAGGCACCAACCAAGCCAATCAGATCAAACGTTGATGTGGATAGTAGTGAACGTATCACAATCACTTAGTTTTATTGTATTTTTTTATGTTTGTTTGGAATCTTGTATTAGCAGTAATACTTTTTGAATATTCCAGTTTGATGGGAACAACATTTTGTTGGCTCTATTATTTGTTTAATGAACTCAGATTTGCGTTTTTATTTGTTGATGTTTCATGTATTATACAAATTTCTTCGTGAATATAAACTGATATATAGTAATTTATACAGATGAATAGTTTGACATATTATACAATAATTTTTGAATAATTATACAACTTAATTGAGAAATCATTATACAAACACAATTATTACTATAGAAAATTGTATATATACCTATATATTAGTTCCCCTCTCTCACTTTATACAAAAACACAAATGTATAAAATGTGTTTTTGTTTGTATAAATCAAGAGAAATTGTATATATGCATATATTTTCGTTCCCCTCTCTCCCCTCTTCAAGATCTCGCTCACCACTCTCCCACATCTTGCTCCCTCACTCGCATCTCTCACTTTATACAAAAACGCAAATGTATAAAATGCGTTTGTATGTATATAAAGCGAGAGAAAATTGTATATATACATATATTTTCGTCCCCCTCTTTCCCCGCTCTCAATTTATACAAACACAAATGTATACATTGTCTTTGTGTTTGTATAAAGCGGGAGAAAATTGAATATACAGATACAAATGCATATATTTTCGTCCTATACACTTTTGATTATACAAATACGATTTTCTCCTGCCCAGTTTTTTTGTCTTTCTCTCTTTCTCGCTTTATACAAACACATATTATACAATTGATCTTTTGTATATGTATACCAAAGCAGATTATACAATTGCTTTATTTTGTATAAGAACACTAATTTATACCTAGTTCAACTTTCATAAAATTCACTGTTCTCATAACACCTATCAAAAATAGTTATACATAGTGGGTACCTGTTAAATTCATTTGTAAATAGTATTACATAGGGGGTGCCTGTTAAACACCAATCGTGATCATGTATCTATACAACTCAAATAATATTCAAATGTCAAAAGTGAGGCAATATTAAATGTATAAAATCATCATAGACATTTCAAATTGAATCATTTCTAAACTTTCCGAGGCTGATTTCTACAATAACGCCTATTGTGACCTGCAATACCACATATACTGCATGTATTTGTCCCCTTAGATTCAAACATCTCTCTTGCTGATTTGTCGCGAGCCTTTTTTCTTGGTCTTCCAGGAGGCCTTTTGAATTCTGGAGGCAGAACTAAATCAGTCATTATGTATCCACGGACCACCCACTCTGTTTTATCTGGCAATGGGTATATTGGAAAACCATAAGTCTTCAACACTATTGTCGGTGTGTATAAATTCGAGCAGAACTCATCTGGCCGTAAACTCTTGAACTTTAGAACAGCCCAAACATGTTCACATGGTATTTCTTCATACTGAAAGCTTCCACAAGTACACATTTTCTTCTGAAGACAAACTATATAATTTCTACCTTTATCATTGACATTGTGAACATATTCAGTTGACGGAAAAAGCTGCAATATACAAAAATAGATCAAAACAGATTATTATGTACAAATATATACAAATATGTAGAAACCATACCATCAATCGTGTACTCATTGCTTCATTGATTTTGAGTATCTCCTAAAATTTTCCAATCAAGGGAGTAAATGTGAATGATGCCTCTTTTTTGTTTTCACAATTCCATCTGCCAAACATCAGCCTAACTTCCTCTAGAAAATCATCAATTGGCAATTCTCTTGCTGAAACTAATGCCGCATTTATACTTTCTGCGATATTCAATGTCATTGACCAACCACGATGAACTGGTGCATAAATCCTAGACCACTTATCATATCCAGCTAACTCCAAGTATTCCTTTACTCGTATATCTACCTTCTCTACTATCTTAATTAGCCTATCAAAATCTGATTGACTGGACGTCTTAGCCATTGTATAAAATACTAGACTTAATTTTTCATGGGATTTTCTATACTTTGTCTGAACATTCTTCTAAAGGTGCCACATACAAGCATAGTGTTGCACATCATTATACACTTGCGTAACAGCCTTTATGATGCTATCGTTTCTATCAGACACAATACACATATTGTTCCTTTCCCCATACGATTCTCTTAGTTGTTCAAAGAACCATGTCCAAGAGGCATCATTCTCTAAATCTAAGACACCGTATGCTAGTGGAAATATATGACCTACAAATACATATTTATACAGTTACAGAATTACAGATTATAAATATATATATAAAGAGTTATGTATAACAGCCATTCATAATTCATATATGTATATATAATATAAAATACATATTTATATACCTGCACCGTCAGTCGTACTTGCTGCTACAAAAGTTCCATTATAAGGTCCTCGGATGTGATTCCCATCAACTACGACTACAGGTCGGCAATGGTCAAATTCTTTGATGAAAGGATCCAATGCAACAAACAGGTACAAAAACCTATCTTCATCTGTTTTCTGCAAGCGTATATGGGATCCTGGATATGTAATACCCAATATATACAAATACTCAGGTAGTTTGCTGTAGGATCCTCATGGCGTGCCCCTCAAAGAAATCAAAGCCCTTTCTTTAGCTCTCCAAGCCAACATGTAAGTTATATCAACACCACGATCCAGCTTCATGTCTTTTTTTATGTCAGCAGGTGTGTATTTCCTTTTATGATCTACCAATTTAGGCTTAACAATTCCTCCAACTAAATTGCTTGTTACTTGTCGTTGTGAATACACCCTATCTTTCAGTGAACATTTATGTTCAGCGTTGAACGCTCTTATTCTAAACATTCCTGATTTGTTAATATCTAAGGCCTTCATTAACCAATCGCATTCATCGGAGAAACACACAAGTGTATAACTACACGTAAAATAACCAATATATACAGATAAGTCAAAATTATACACCTAATAACAGTTCAACAAATTTATACAAATGATGTTACCTGATTGAATTTGACCTCTTTGTTTTAAACTGAAATCATTCCGCAATTGCATATTGCTCCATTACACACTTCAATGTAGCTTTATTATTGTATACTTGATCTACCTTTACATACTTATGTGATGGATCAGTAATCACCACACTGCAATTCTCCATTTGAAAGGTATCGAGGGGATTTACTATCTCTGCAACTGTCAGTTTCTGTTTTCAAATTCCTCAAAACCAGTTATACAAAGTGATCCAGAATATCAGATGCTACCGTAGTTGAACTTTCACAATGTTCACTGTTCTGATAACACCTATCAGAAATAGTTATACAAAGGGGGTATTTGTTAAATTTATTTGTAGATTTTTTTAGCATTACGTATACCCGCACCCCCATCTCATTGTGTATCACCATCCTAGTACTGCTCTGATCAACCTTATATTCAATTTTTAGTACCTTCACAGTCACATCCACAGCTAGTTGAGTTGCAATTATATTATACAACTCTGTAAATGAGGCATTTTCTCTAAAAACAACTCCCTCAATAACATAGTCAACATAACAGTTTGCATCATCCCATGTTCTAGAATGCATTACCAAAATAGCTATGGAAGACATTCATGTATACAATTAAATATAAGTATAAATCAGTTGTTATTAATCCATTTATACATACACTAATTTATACAATTTTACAAATCAAAATAACTTTATACAAACTAACTGCACAGGAAACAATTGAAACATACATTCAATCAAAGCTCCGATTATTCATTCCGATTTGAATTTTGATTAAATAGTTTATACAATTATAGATCAATTAAAATACAATTGAATCAGTTTCTTCAATTAGAAGACCTAAATATCAATAGATTCAACCAAAACTCCAGAGCACCAAACAGAAAACAGATGAAATTCATTGTATTATGTACCTGCTGTATAATCAACAATGAAATCGATTGATTTGTTTTTGAATTGTAGTCGCCAATACGACGATCTCAGAAGAAAATTGATTGTAGTCGCTGATCCGACGATCTCAGAAGAAGACGATCTCAGAAGAGAAGTGATTTGGAGAAATTAACTCCGCATAAACTACAACTATCAATGAATTATACATACTCAAATCGCAATTCAACTAAAACTAATTTATACAATTTTACAAATCAAAATAACTTTATACAAACTAACTGCACAGGAAACAATTGAAACATACATTCAATCAAAGCTCCGATTATTCATTCCGATTTGAATTTTGATTAAATAGTTTATACAATTATAGATCAATTAAAATACAATTGAATCAGTTTCTTCAATTAGAAGACCTAAATATCAATAGATTGATCCAAAACTCCAGAGAACCAAACAGAAAACAGATGAAATTCATTGTATTATGTACCTGCTGCATAATCAACAATGAAATCGATTGATTTGTTTTTGAATTGTAGTCGCCAATACGACGATCTCAGAAGAAAATTGATTGTAGTCGCTGATTCGACGATCTCAGAAGAGAAGTGATTTGCTGGCAAGATTGGTGCGTGAATTAAGGGATTTTATACCTCGTCAAGCTGATATTACCGCCATTAAGTTTCAAAATAAATTGAATTCTATTTATACAAATTACAGCTGTAGAAAAAAAAAGTACCTTTTATAAGAAGCGATTACAGTTGTAGGTATAGCTATTGTTGGTAATTATTCAAACTTTAGCTAATTTGATTAATTACTTTAATTACTGTAGCTAAACGCGAAAATTTCCCCATGTACTTTGCCTTTAGGGCATCCCCAACCCTACCCTCTATTTTACTTTCTAAAAATAGAGTTCTTTATTTTTTCAAACAATCAACTCCAACCCAATTCTCTATTTTTCTCTCTAAAAATGAATCTTTTTCTCTCTCTTCAATATTATATTATTATTTCCATTTCATTTTTATTTCCTTATTTCATAATATAATTCAATTTTTTTTGCAAATAATCACCCTATAATTTATATAATCTTCATATAATATAAAATTTTATTCTTTTCAAATTCTTCATTTAATAAAAAATTATTTTATTCTAAATAACATAAAATGCGACAAATATTATATATAATACATATTAGCGAACAATTCAAATCAAAGTGAAATTATTGATGAACTACAACTATATCATCAATATTAGATTATCATAAAAATTATTTTAAATTTTACATGAATATTCAACTTTCAAGATTGCTACGTTTCTCTCATAAATGCTCTATTAATATATTACGGAGTTCAAATGAATAATTTTTTGTCCTCATTTTTTTTATTTATAGCTAAAAATTGTTCACATTAACGATCAATTATTTTGTATACTAATTTACTTCCCCTATTACATTTTAAACTATTGCATCAAGCATTTTCATGCTCATTAAAAAGTGTAGTTTAATCATTTATCAATATAACATAAAGGTGGATTGTTTGAATTATCGTGTAAATTTTGTGCATTCTTCATAGTGAAAAATAATTATAATTTTAAATTACATATTTAAAGTGACAAGAACTTTTAAAAAATCAAATTAGAAAAATTGTGAATTCGGGATGGAAGTAGTATGCTTATCAATAATATGTTTTTAGATATTATATTACTAAGAAAATCAGTACAAATATTAGAGACTTAATTAATAGTCTTTTATAATATAAATAATATTAAAATAATTTTATATTACATATTTAAAGTGCTAATTTTTTTAAAAATAAAATATAAAAATTATTAATTCGAATGAAAGTAGTAACTTTTATATAATATATTTTTAGATGTTATATTATATTAGAAAATAATTATAAATAGTAAAGACTTAATTAATGATATAATATAAATAATAAAATAATCAAAAAGTGAAATAGAGAGGTGAATAGTAGTTCTCTAAATTTGGAGAATTACTATTCATCTCTCTATAAATGGAGTATAGAGAGTAATATGGAGAAGGGTTGGAGAGGACATTCTCTATTTTACTCTCCATATATAGAGAATGGAGAGTAAAATAGAGATGGGTTGGAGATGGTCTTAAAAGTTGAAACCTCTACCTAGGCCCATGCTGAGATTGACCAATTGAAAGCCCACCACAATTATATCATTCTCCATTGGGAGATTGACATGAAGGTACAAGTAAACTTAGAAGGGTAAATCATATAAATATGCTATATTAAAGAAATATTTCTCATCTATGGCAATATAATTTTTCTAACTAAATTTAACAATTTTTTGGAATTAAGAAATTGTACAGTTGCTTGCCTCTTTCTCTGCCATTTTTCATTTTCCTTCACTTTTTTTTTATTCTTTGTTTTCTTTGTCTCTTTCTCTATCATTATTATTTTCCTTCTCTTTTTTCTTTCTTTTTTTAAAAAAAAAATTATTCTTCTTCTTCTTTGAAATTTTCATATAAATAACTATCTTCAAATCAATTTTTGCCTATATTTTATTATTTTTACCCAAAAATATGACGGAAAAAGAAATGGAAAGATGAAAATTTGTACAAAATCATATTTTCAAGCAGAAATTTCAAATCTGTAAAATTATAGCAACAAGAGTTCACCATGAAGGGTCATTATAAAGCTTCAAATTTTGAATTCATTATTTGAATTTTACGAATTTGTGATTAGCTTGGATAGATTGTTCCTACAAATAATTAAAAATGTCGTTTGAAATTTATCTCTCAATTTTAAGAGGATTTGGTTAAGTTTATAATTGATTTTAGGAGAAATATTAGATTGAAACTCGAAAAAGGTGAAGTTATGGAACTGTATGACAATTGTATTAAAATCATGAACAATGCATTTATAATACATATTACAAACTTCACTCTTTTTTAGTGGTATCAACCAAAATAATTTAAGTAACACACTCGTAATACATTTATAATATAGGAACAAAACATTTGTAATACATATTGCAAACGCCGCTTTTTTTCTTAGTGATACAAATCAAAATATTTATAAGATATATATAATACATGTTTTATTCATGAATAGTACATTT